GCTTCCTCTGTCCCCTGCCGGATCTCAATCCTGCAAAGCTGAGGACTCTCTCCTCTCCAGTCCCCGCAGCCAGCCCAAGGGCCCCCGTCAACTTTATAGCCAGGGAAACGCAGAGCTGCAATCAGGTGATGCACGCAGAACGGCCAGACAATGGATCCAATCAAACCCTCTCGCTGTCACGCGCTACAGTTCATCGCCTGCCACAGCTGATTCTCCCCGTCGATGTCGACGCAAGAGCCACGACTTGGCCTGGCCCTCCCAGGAATCTCGCGAGGGCGAGGTGGTGTCAGGTGATTGGATTGGCTGGGCTGGTACGTGAACAAAGACCTGCTGGGTGTTTGAAATACGCCAGAAAAAATATTATTTCGATCATAAAATACGTGAGAAAAAGAAAAAAATCTTATTTCGACTGTTAAAATACATGAGAAAAAAATACTATTTCAATTAAAATTTACGATCGTTTCACCCAGCCGAACGTGCTGCTGGCCTGGCGCTTTTCGTTCTCCTGCTGCTGCAGAGCCTGCGACGGGCGATTTGACTTGGCTCAAGCGAACGCAAACGCAACTGGAAGGCGTATTCAAAGTTTACGTAAATGCTGCAGGAAGGCGTGTGTCGTACCACGTGCTGAGCGCGAGGTGACCAGACTCGACACCAACAAGAGACGGGGACGCCACGCCTCACACGTCACACTGCAACGGCCGCCGCACCACCACCACCACGGCACCACCCCAACCCAATCCCATCCCCACCGGCGCCGCCTCCCATGGCGGACTTCGGCGACGAGCTCTTCCTCGACGTCGGCGACGACGGGTTCAGGAGACCTCTCCTACGTCTCCTTCTCCGAGTCCATCGAGTTGATCTCGCCTGCCCACGCCACGTCCTCTCCCGGGCTTCGATCCCGAAACCTAACCCCCACCCTGGGTCTCCCATCTCCTTCGACTCCGACCCCGACCTCCGCTGCCCTCTCCCCTCGCTGACCCGCTCCCCGCCCTTCTGGGACTGCCTCGACGAAGACGCCGCTAGCTTCGAGTGGGAGGAGATCGCGGACGCTGCCCCGGCGTCGGCAGTGGCGGTGGCGGTAGCGGAGGGGAGGGGAGGGGAGGACTAGAAGGAGAGACCGACGCTGACGTGTTCGGATTCCTCGACGAGCGGGAGATGCTGGGCGTGATGGAGGGCATCGACAGCGGGACGACGACTGATCTTCTCCGACGAGCCTCCGTTCGACTTCGGCGATGACGACGCGGAGCTCGAAGGCATCTTCCAGAGCGGCGTCGGGTGGGAGCTGGGCTCCCGGCGTCGCTGGACGACGAGTTCGAGATTCTGCCGGGGTACGTCGTGGACGTGGGCGGCGCCCGCCGGCGGCGCGTGCGGCAGTGGAGCGGCTCCAGGTGGTGGCCGTCAGAGGGCAAGGAGGCTGCGCAGGGTGCGTGTGTGCAAGGAAGGGATGGAACAGGGGAGTTTCGCCACAGGGCTGCCGTGCGGGCATTTCTACCACGGGCGTGCATTGGCCCATGGCTTGCCATCCGGAACACGTGCCCAGTGTGCCGGTACGAGCTGCCTACTGACGACCCTGAGTACGAGAGGCGGAGGGCGAGGCGCCGTTCCGCTGGTGGCTCAACGCCACAGTCGGGTACACCGATGCAAATTTGAGCTAAGGCTGCTTGGTGGTATGTCTTGGATGCAATTCCATCATTCCATGGAAGTGAGAAACCTCACTCATTGAATTCGCATTAGGATGTTTACAATGGTCTTGAATTTTTTTCAGGATTCAGCTTTTATGCTTGGGACTTGAATGGGAAGAACAATTATCTTAACAATTTGTACATAAATCTTCTTGTTTCAATATATAGCAAATTCTTCCTCGCTTTTGAGAGGATAACATTACTAGCATGTTTGTACTGCTGGGCTAACACTTTGCTTACTATGTGTGACATTCATCGTAATTACAGAATCAACATTGTAAATGCTTGTTTTCTGTGCTTGAGAACTCAATTTATTCATCCCGGCCCATTGACAACAAATTTAGATGTGCTTTGAAAAGTAATTTATCAAGTGAACTATGCCAGGACTGTTTAGCAATTGATGGTTATTTTCAAATTTTAAATAGTTCTTGCAAATGGTGCACTTGATTTTGACCATGATTGATTTCTGTATCGTTATGTAAATAGCATGTCAATGCAATGCTCACACAAATTGATATCTAGATCAACTGTCAGGAAACACACTGGACGAAAGCAATCTTGTTAAAATATGAGATGAAACTTCTTTAATATGCTTAGGTTGACAATGAGGTATAACATAGATGCTACATTAAAATTTATTCATTGCTTACATCACTGAGCATCAACAAGTTACTCAGTACTACTCATCACCAGCATCAGCTGTCAGCACTGAGATGAGTTAGTGCTATCTCTAAAACCTCAATTGGCAGCTTGCGGTACCTTCTCTATCATTATTCTGGTGACCTTCGTGTGAAGTTGGCTTCTGTTATTTGTTGTGGCTTTTCAAATCTCCTTTATGTGTGCTCTCTTCTAGAGTGCTGGTTTATAAATGTTCATGCTGTTAAGCTTTTACACTTGATTGTTCCCAAGTTTTGCACTGATCGTGGAATGTCTTTTGCTCTCTTCATCCGGGCTGTGCTGTGCATGATATACACCTGAAGGTTTTGCTTATTTGTCTGATATTTCTGAAATGCCTGTGACTGATAAATATCTTTCACTACTGCTGATTGGGTTACAATGTGAGTATGTGACTTCTGGGCAACATAAATCAGGTACTGATGCAGCATGGTATGATATGCTGCCCTTAAGAGAAATGCTACAGATTTTTCGTGGGTTGGCCAGAGACTGGCAGTTGTGGCTAGCCACCACACGTCTGTTCGTAGTTTCCAGGGTGTTTCAAGATTCAAACATTTACCCATGTTCTATGTTTCAGAGGCTAGAGACTCAGGCCTTGTTTAAATCCAGTGTGTAAAGTTTTAGGGTGACATCGGGTGTCGCATGGGGTGTTCGGATACTAATAAAAAAACAAATTACAGAACAAATTACAGAATCCGTCGGTAATCTGCGAGATGAATTTATTAAGCCTAATTAATCCGTTATTAGCATATGTGTTATTGTAGCATCACATTGTCAAATCATGGACTAATTAGGCTTAAAAGATTCGTCTCGCAAATTAGGCTCTGTTCGGCTGGTATTAAATCGGTTTCTGCTGATTTGTAATGCTGGTTTGTTGTGAGAGAAAAACACTGTTCCACGGCTGATTTATATGGATTAAAGCTGGCTAAATAGCACAAGCGAACATGCCTCGCAAACTGTGCAATTAGTTATTTTTTTAGTGTATATTTAATAATTAATGCATGTGTCAAGTATTCGATGGGATAGCATTCGATGGGATAGGGAGTAAACTTTAGTGGAAGAAACTAAACAATGCCTCAATCATGGTAGTATGGTACACTGAAATTCCTGGACTGCTGTATAAATGTTTGTTTTCACTTCCTCTGGTGACTGGTGCTAGCAATAGTGTTAGCTCAGCAGCAGCTAGTGGTAATGAGATGAAGTATGTTGCTGTTCATGTCTGGAAAATGGAAACTAATTGATGAATTGCCACTCAATTAGGAGGCATAACATTGGTGTTATGTTAAAAGTTTCTCTATGCTTCGCTACTATGGCATCAGCACTGAGACGAATTTATGCTCTTCTAGTCTAGAACTCTAGTTGCATCTCGTAACATTTTACGTGGACATTCTGTGATCTTGGTATGAACATTGGCCTGTCGACTATTTTCTATAGTTTTGGCTTTAGGACCTATTTATGTCTGCCCTCTTCCTAGAGTTCTTGTACTGGTAGTAGTTTATAAACGCCCTTACAGTTTCATAGCAGTGGTTTTACGTTTTTCTTTGCTTCCAAGTTCTCAACTGATCGTAGAGTGCTTCTGTCATCCTCGTTTGTGCTCCGCTTGAGGTATATATTAAATGTTTTCCTTATTTTGCTACTGCTCAAAGGCCTGTGAGCGATGGTATCTTTTCACTACTAATTTTTGCGACTGTGATATGATTTCTGTGAGGTATGAATCAAGTAACTGATATATGTTTCGTGCTTAAGTCAGATACGATAGACAGCCATGAAAGAAATAACCCAAATTTTCCATGCCTTGGTTCTAGTCTTCTAGACTAGTGAATTGCGAGTGCCAACTGTTTTTGTGCGTGCATCTTTCAATGTGTTTCCGGAGTCTACTGAATGAACCATGGTTACACTGAATTTCCTGAGACCATAGCTTCTGCACTCCCTTTGGTGGATGGTGGCCATTGGTGATCAGGTGAAGTATCATGTCGTTCATGTGATCTTGCCCTGAGAAAAGGCGAGCTCGATGGTCAGCGAGGAGTTCTTTCTGATTTGGATGCACTGTATCTGTGTTAGTTGGGTTGGATATGACTCGAGATTTTGCTATTCGACAGGTGTTCCTCGTGGTGGTTGGCACCCAGTGGTTTTCTTTGAACTGCAAAATATCCCCATGCATTGTAGGTTCTGGCCACTGGTGACGTTTGTAGGCTCCATAGACGACATCTTTGGTACTGTACTTCGAGGTGTCCCAAAACAGAAGAGGCGCCGCCGCGGCTGCTATGGACGTTGCCACTCCTCCTGTTGTGCATATACTGGGCCCTTTTGAGCCTACCGAATGATGTCCAGGCCCATAATTTGTTCACCCCTTACCAGTAATCCCAGTATGTAATGGCCATGCTAATTGCACATGAATCAATTGAGTTCTATAGTAAAAAACAGGGTCTCGTAACTGTATTAGATTCCAAAATCATCAGTCGTATCGTATGATCGCGACCTATGGACTATCGAGTATCTACTGTACCTTGCAGAATGCAGAGTGTTCAGAACGAGCAAATCTCGGGAGCTCCACGACTACATACTCACGATTTACGAACACACGACAACCAGGTATGCACAAAGGCAAATGGTCCCTCTCCTCTTCTTGAACTAGTAGTGAATTACTATGTCATCTTGGTCGCCGATCGGCGATCGAACACCTGCCTAGTCGGCCGTTGCCTCATCGCCGGCGTCGCCCTTCCCTGACGCCTCCTGTCCACCGCCGCCGCCGCAGCGGCCTCGGCGACCGCGAGCCTCTCCGCAGGGCGCCCGCCTCCGCACTGAGCCGCGCGTTCTCCCGCGCCTCCCACGCGCGCGCAGCCGCCACGCGGTTCAGCTCCACGGCCAGCCGCGTGTTCGCGGCGCAGGAGCGCGGCCACGCGCGACGACATCTCGTCGAGCTGCCCCTCCGCCGGGCGCGCGCGCGCTGCGCCGACTCGCGGTTCGACGCCTGCCGCCTCGCCTTCCGCTCGTCGCGCGCCGCCTGCTGCTGCTCCAGCTCTCCCGTGCCCATACTCGCCCCGGCGCCGACGCCGCCGGCACTGGCGCCAGTGCCGTGGCCGCCGTACGTGCCCCAAGAACCGTCCGCGGTGCCCGGGTAGGACGACGGCTCGTGGGCGAAGTCTGCTGCTGCACCGAGCGTGTGGCACTGGCACACCAACGTCGCGATGTCGTCTCTCTGCATGACTGGAAGCTAGCTGTTGAAGGATAGCTCTCGGCAAAGTTGCAATGACGAGGAGATGATAGGAAGCTAGCTCTTGTCGTATTTAAAGGAGATCGAGTCTTCTTCGATCAATGGAGGGACCGAGCTAGGGAGGAGATGACGACGACGTATATATATATACAGATACAGATGGAGGTGAGTGAGTTACTTTAGAGCCTCTTTGGCAGGGCTTAGCTCCGGCTTCTGCATGAGCTGTGCCAAATGTCTGTTTTGGAAAGGGCTTCGCACGAGGAGCCGGAGCTATTTTTTGCCTGCGCAGGAGAAGCCTAAAAAACGAGCTTCGCGCGGCTCCTTGCTGTGGATTCACGTCGTCTAGTGCGAAGGAGCCGTTTTGCCAAACATTTTTCAGAACGGCTTCCGCTCCTCCAGAAAAACCAGAGCCAGAGCCATTTTCAGAGGATCCAGAGCCCTGCCAAACATGCCCCTGCACACAGACACAGAGAGCCCTAAGCGAACCTTCCTTTTGCGTCTTCATGCAGGATTATCCTGTAAATTTTTGGGACGATCCGATTGCTGTCGTCTGGTTGCAAAATTTTGTTTGCCAAGTAGGCCTTTACTCAGAAATAGTCGTCTTCTCGTGTGGAAAATCATGCCATGAAGTCGCTGCAATTCCTGCCCATTACTTTGATTGGAAATTTGCACGCAAAGTACGCAGAGAGCTTTGGAGTTTGAAGCATTGGTTTGAGAAATTTCGCGTCTTTCTTTTTCTTGTGAGATTACTATCATGTTAAAGATTTCTTTTTTCTCAACAACGCGTGAGGACAAGAATAGTTTACTTGTCCACGAGGTACTTTATTTAGCAGCAAGTCTTTTCATTGCATGACAAAGTGACGACGGCATTGCCTTTCACGCTTTTTTCGTGTCAAGATATGATAGCAAGATGTTTATGTATAGTGACGCCACAAATGATGCCAGTAGTACCCAAACTATTTGGTGCACTTCCTTGGGTGCATATATGTTACATGTGGTTGTGAGCTTTTCTGGTACTGTTGGGCAATCCCTTTGGCCCTCTATAGAGACTTTTGGGCCCCCTTTAGAACGCGAGATTT